GATCCTAAAATGCAAAGACATACAACTCAGCACAAAAGCCAGAATCATCCAAACCATTGTATTCCCTCTTATTCCCATGGATGGATGTGAGAACTGGACAGTCAAGAAAGAAGACAGGAGGAAAACCAATACATTTGAGAAAATGTGGGGCTGGAGAAGAGTATTGAGAATCCCACATATAGTATAGTACTAGCATAGTACTGTATTTTTACTAATATAGTATAGTAAAAATAGTATAGTATAGTATAGTATGAATAGTATAGTACTTTCTCCCATGGATAAGTGGATCAAGTTTTTTGGGGGTCAAATTTTTGACTAAAATTTCTAGACTTATACACAAGTATATATACAGTACTTTTCCAGTGTGAAACGTGAGCAAGCGTGAGCTAGGCTGCCCACGGAGGAACCTCTGTTCCTTGCGCTGCTAAATCCGGCTGCTAAGCCAGTGTTGTGAATCACTGGGGGATTGACTCAGGTACATCCAAACCTTGAGCTGAGCTGGCGGTGACATTTTCTTGCCCACATGAGGAAGAGGAACACAGCCGGTGCCCACCTGCAACCGTGTTGGCATTCGGTAGCACCGTGAGTCAGGCTCCGCGGCGTTCAGAGATGGCAGGGCCACAGACAGGGATCCTGCTCTGACGGATGGCCCTTGGAGAGCTCTTGCGGTTTCTTGTGTGATATATTTTTAAGGACAGCAATAGCAATAGCGTTTATATTTCTGTCGCTTGCTCTGGGGAATGTCCTCATTAAATCGTAGCATTATTGTTTATATATTTGTGTGTGTGTGCTTTAACCAAATTGAATTTTGAATTCTTTATATGCAAGACTGTTATATATGCAAGACTTTTATATATGCACGATTGTTATATATGCTGCTCTGACATGTTGCATTGCATTTTAACACATTGGATGCAAGCAGCCTTTGGTTTAAGCATTAATAAAAGATGACTACTACCACTGGGTGACCTTGGGCAAGTCACACTCTCTCAGCCTCAGGGGAAGGCAATGGCAAGCCTCCTCTGAACAAATCTTGCCAAGAAAACTCCAGGATAGGTTCTCCTTAAGATCACCATATGTTGGAAATTACTTGAAGGCACACAACCACGGCAACAACATGTGTTGGAGGTAGCAGCTTCGAACTTCCCTTTCCTCCCCTTGGTGACAGTCTGAAGGTAATTGATTTCCTGGGAGTCCTTCTGCCACTGAGCCTGTGGGCATCTCTGCATGGCCAGAATCATCTGCCAGCCATGAAGGCATGCCAACGTTGCCATCCAGGCCCAAATTATTGGGGCATCAGTGCCCTGCTGCTGGGTTTGCAGCCATTGAGCAGCAGCTTTGGGGAACGCTTGCAGAGAATTAAACCTGGCAATGGAGGAGGAGGAGGATCAAAGCTGAAGAAGAAAGTCATCTCTGGGAAGGATGAACTTTTTCAGGTCCTGTCTAATCTTGGAAGCCAAGCAGGTGCAGCATTGGCTAGTCCTTGGATGGGATATTGCCACCAAATCCCAGGTGCTGCCAGCTCTGTTTCAGAGGAAGGAGCTGGCAAAACCACCTCTGAGGATTCCCTGCCTAAGAAAGCCTTATGAAATTAATGGGGTCCCCATAAGTCGATAGGCGATTGGAAGACACATGGAGACAGAGACACAAGGACATTATAATAACTTAAAGGAACCTGATCCTGTCTGATCCTGGAAGCTAAACAGGGCCAGCCGTGGTTAGTCCTTGGATGAGAAACTGCCAATGAATACCAGGTGCTGGAGGCTAATTTCAGAGGAAGGAACTGGCAAAAACCACCTCTTGCCAAAGAAAACCCTTTGAAAAGAGATGCTACTTAAACATTAGGAAAAACTTCCTGACGGTAAGAGCTGTTTGATAATGGAAGAGCCTGCCTTCTTTGGAAGTTTTTAAGCAGAGACTGGATGGTTATCTATCAGGAGTGTTTTGATTATGCATTCCTGCATGGCAGAATGGGGTTGAACTGGATGGTCTTTAGGGGTCTCTTCCAACTCTAGGATCCTATGAAGCTTCATAGGCTGTACCAGCTTCCCCCCCCCCCCCAAATGCAGCCATATCATGGGCAAATTTAGTACATTAAACAGACAGATCACGCCCTGCAACCAAATATATTTATAGGTCCCACAATTGAAAGGAGTCCCCCCAAGCAATTTGCAAAAATAAATATTAAGAAAAATGGCCTGGTGCCCAGATCAGAGGGCCTTACTTGAGAGCAAAAATGAACCCAGGGGCAGAAGGGTTGTGTAGGAGTTCCTTCTTCCAGAGGGGAGGAACATCAGGAAAGAAAAGGTCCAAATCAGCCACCAGCTTCATTGTAAAAGCAAGAACGCCTTAGAAGACCCAATTCTTCATCACAATAGAAACATGAAGAGGAGAAAAGAAATGTGCAAGGCGTACATATGGGGAGAAACTGGACAAGGGCCTGCTGGATTGTTCCTGATGACAAGAAGTTTGTGGACACAAAAAGCAACCGTGGGTGTGTAGGATTTGGGTTTGGAGGCTGCACAGCAGAAGCTGCAACAAATGGGGCTGAGGGAAGGCTCATTCCCCCCATTGTTTGCAAGGAGCCCTGCTGGTTCCACAAAGAACAAGCCATTCTGCTATGGAGAGAAGGAAGGGGAGGCTGGGATGAAGAATCAATTCTTCTGCATGGAGCCCAAAGGGGATAATAGCAGGAGGGTAGGATTTATTAGAGAAAGGCTTTTCAAAAAAAGGAAACCATCTGACTGTAGACTTTTTTGAAACTGAAATATCTATTCCTTGCATTTCTCTGCCCTTTTCAGGATTGCCACAGGGCTCAGAGCCTCCCTGCTTTGGGGATGACTGCAGCACCGGTGAAGGATTTTGAAGACCTGGGTCCCAAAAAGGGGAGAAAGAAAAACTACAGACTACAATGCCCAGAATCCCCATGCTATAGCATGGTCAGTGGGTATGCCTGCTAGGGGTTTCTGGGCATGCTTCTCTGGTAAAATACAACAGCAACCCTCCACCGCATTTCCAAGGCCTGCAAAAATGTCATTGTGACACTACTGTTCACAATGCTTTGCAATCCTTCAGTAAGGAATTCCATAGCATTGAGCCATGGCAGGTAAACTGGTGTCAAACTGCATTAATTCTGCAGTGCAGCCTCTGCTATAGTCACTATCTCAGCCACACAAGTAGACAATTTTGGATTTTAGAGCATTTTGGATTTCAGAATTCCAGATAAGGGAGGCTTAACCTGCATCTATATCTGAGACTCATAAATAAATATATTCTGCACATGCCCAGAGGCACTCGGCACTTTCCTTCTTATTCCACAGCCCTGGCACACTGTAACTCGGGTTCCTGAATGGAAGAACATGAAACTTGCAGGGACTCAGCTCTGCCATGTGCAAACACCTGAAACTGACCAGCTATCTTATGAGTCCAGGCATCAACATTTCTCAGTGCCCTGTGCAATAAGTAACGTCTGGAACAAACCTGGTTTGTGGCTTCTGGATTAATGCTTTGGTGACATCGTGTGGCAAGATCTTCAAATTGCAAGAGAAGCTGCTAGCAGTCTTTCCTCCATCCCTTCCTCCTTCAGATAGTCAAAGCCCATCACTCTCTCCTGGGTGGGTCCAGAAATGGCCAATTGGTGCATAGTGGTTTGAGTGTTGGACTGCGACTCTGGAGACCAGGGTTCGATTCCCAGCTTGGCCATGGAAACCCACTGGATGACCTTGGGTAAGTCACACACTCTCAGCCTCAGGGGAAGGCCATGGCAAACCTCCTCTGAACAAATCTTGCCAAGAAAACCCCACAACAGGATCGCCTTTTAGGTCACCATACGTTAGAAACAAAGACACACGACAACAACAAAGCACAAACTCCGCTGACTTTGGATATTTCGACATTGAAAGAATTCCATAATGCAACCTAAGAAGGAAAGCGTGGTGCAGTTATTAACAAGAGTTACACATAGGGATGTTTCTTCTTTCAGGGAAATGTACATAGACAATTGCATATAAATGGCAATACGGTTGTCAATAAGTCATAGAGTAATATTATTGATGCAGTGGCAACATTGCATTTATATGCTCATTAATGTTATCACATTTTGTGATGACTGTATTGTCATATTATTTGTATTCATTGTGTCTAAAGGTTAGAATATTTTGTTACAAACATATTTATTGTTTCTGTCAATGTGGCCTGGTTTCTAATTACATCTCAGACTGATGAATTGTATCAATTTCTGGTTCCAAACATTTTGGATAATTTGACTTGTAGTACAATGGGCAAGTGCAGCCCATTCTCTTGAAGACATCCAAATGCACCTGAATTGCACTTGCTAACCAGTAAAATGCACCTTTACTACTCCTAAACCACTGCCATCCATCCACACCTCCCCTGGGTTGCAGAACACATCTGGATCCTTCTTGCAACCCAAACTTCAAATCCATTGGCAAAGTGCCTTCGCGTCCCATATTTCTGCTGGCACCCATGTGCTGCCATGCAAAAAGAGGCCAAGAGCAACAGGTTCATTAGACATTTATTTATGTACACACTTATACACACAATTCCCAAATGGAGAGTCGCCTCTCCTCTTCAGTGCTGTCTTGTTTGCATTTTCAGTTCCAGTCCACATCGATTCTACATAAACCCACCGGACGACAACTCGGGAATGGGGAGGAAAGGGGAGAAACACACACCCAAAGGCAGACGGACAACCCCCCGACTCCTGTCCAACTAGCTTTCCAGAAAGGGACCATTGGACAACACAACCCCATCCCTTCTAAGGGGATATATGCACCCGTCCCTCTTCCAGCTAGAGGTCTATCAAAGAACACCCAAGAATCTACCCAAGTCTTCAGAACGCTGTCATTAAGATAACAATGAGCAAGTCCCAAAGGGATAAATACCCACCTCTGGAAGTGAGGGAGGAAAGGGGTCTAGGGGTGCATGTGAGGATGGACCATCAGCTTTTTGCCTGGATGATGAAGCGGAGCAGCTGAATTCAAACCCCTGCACCAACAGTGCCACCAGCTCTGGAATTTAGCATGGCTCACCTACACTGTTTGGACCTTGAGTTTTGGCCAGTAAAGGAGCCTTCTTGTTTCTTGATGGCTTCCCAAGAACTGCTTTCGGGATGCTCTCCACTGCTCAGGTATCACTGCTGGTTGTTCCTCTGAGGAGGTACCTGCAAACTGCTTGCTGCTTGCAAACTCTAGGAGTGCAGCTTCTGTCAAATATGGGGTATGTGCTTCCCCTGAAAAATTTGGGGACCCATCCACTGAAAAACAAAATTTCAACAGCTACAATGTACTCGTGGCTGCAATGTTTCATTTATGCTATGCTTTTGTCCCAGAGTTGCTTTTCAAACGAGGAAACTGTCAAGAAGTACAGACCTCTCTCTGAGCATGCACCCAGCACAAGGGCCTTTTTCACACCACATAGTTATAGCACTATGATTCCACTTTAACTGTCCTGGTTCTGCAATCTGTAGTCTGGTGAGGCAGAGAATCTCTATGGAACAACAGTGCTATAATTGTGAATGGCACAAGAGCCCCAAGTTTCTCTAAAATGCCACACCTTGTAGTTTATTATCCCCAATCTTGAATCCCAAGTGCATGGCTGTGTTCACTTTTGGATGGCAAGCAGGTACTCGGTACATGCTCAGGAGCACTTGTTTCTGTAACTCTTGACTCCATGCGCTGGAAGAAAGATAGACTGAGAAAACCATACAGTGGTGGGATGAGAGCCATGGCTTAAAATAAAGCCCTGAAAATGGGAGCCATAGAAGTGTCCTACATTTCTTTTAGGTTTCTTTTTGGAAATGGGGGAAATAGGGCAATGACTTCTGGGAAAATGTCACAAGGTCTTGGGAGAAAGGCATGGAGGAAATGGTTAAACAGGAAAAGGAACAGAAGGCGATGGTTCCCCTCTAGTCTTCCACACAGCAAAAATAAAGCAGCTTGACACCACTTTAACTGCCATGGCTCCATCCTGTGATTTGTAGTTTGGTGAAGTATTCAGCCTGGTCTGTCACAAAAGGCTCTGGCACCTCACCAAACTACAAATCCCAGGATTCTGTAGGATACAGTCATGGCAGTTAAAGCGGTGTCAAACTGCTTTATTTCTGCAGTGTGGATATATTCCACCCCCCACCCACTCCAGAAACGGGCCACTGAGAACAGAGTTAAAACCTATATTTTTTGAGGTGGGTGTTCCTTTCTATTTAGTAGCTATTTATCCCTTTGCTTTCAGGTTTCCACCCATACACCCACTCTCAAATTTCCCAGGCTGCTCCAGTTCCAGATCAGCTAAACTGAAGAACAAAGGGGAGCATCACATCCAAACCATCCACTCATTCCCTTTTGCAAAACAGTGTAGAGCAATCCCTGAATTCTTCTTACGACTTGGATTGGGAAGAACAGTGGGGTAGCCATTCTGCCTAAGTGTTTGGGCTCTTGCTTTTTACAGTGTGTGTTTGGGTGTATGTTATTTCCATGCGTCCCCCTTCAATTCTTCTCAACTCCACAAAGTTCCCCCAATCCCTGCAGACAACTCGGTTGTCCCTCTCTTAGGAACACACTAGCCTTTCAGGGACAACCAGTCACCCCTTGCCTGCGCAAAAGTGCAAAACCCATCTTTCTCCCCCAGTCCTGGAGCCAAGGAGACCTCAAGGCAGAAGAGTTCCTCTTGACCAAGGGCTCCCAAATGCCCTTCCCTTCCCTGCTGGTAGCCACGATTAGCCAGAGGCCACACTTCTCAGCTGGCAAATGACACCCAGGCATGGGACACATGTGTCAAATATTACTTGACGTGCTCGGCCGCATGTGAGGAACAGTAGTACTTCTTGTGGGCAATGAAGGTTGAGAGGCTGCTGAACTTGATGTTGCAGAGGCGGCAGTACCTGTGATTGCCATTGGCCACGGGCACTGGGGGACCTTTGCCCGGCGGAGTTTGCACGCTTTTGTCCGTATACCCAGGGAGGGTGTTGGCTGCCTCGGGCAAAGGGGAGATGGGCAAAGGGGCAGAGGGGGAGACAGGCAGAAGGGGCTGTGGGGAAATTGTGGAACGCGGGCTTCCATTTGACACCGGAGGGAGGGGGGCCTCTTTGCTGTTGAAGCTGTCCTTACGCAACCGGGGGATGGGCTGGGGTGGCGAGGCTGCTGGCAATGGTGGGAGTAGGTGGCCCTCAGCCAGCGTCCGGGTGGCCTCTATCAAGGTGGCACCAGCCACTGTTTTGGCAACAAAGAGGCCATGGGCAGTGCGGAAGTGTTCCACCAAGTCCCCCTTGATGGCCCCATTGAGAGGGCAGTAGGGGCACACTGTCAGGGGCAACTTAGCCCCTTGGAGGTGGAGGGTTTTGGCATCCACATAACGCTGCTGGAGAGGGTCCATGCCTGGAAAGGTGGGTTGGGGAGTGGCGGGGCTCAAAGAAGGTGTAGTCTTCTCCATTTTGACCGTTGGTCCCTCATGCTCGTCCCCCGGCCCCTCAGGGCTGCCCCGAGGTTTCAGAAGAACTGGGACGGTCCCCTTGATCTTTTGCAGCTGCTCCAGTGTGCTGGGTTGCAATGGCGTGGCTGGGCAGTAGTACTTCTTGTGGGCCAAGTAGCTGTCCAAGCTGTGGAAACTGATGCGGCAAGCGGTGCATTCGTGGTAGTCCGCCAGGGGCAATAAGGAAGCTGGGAGCATGTCTCCACTGCTACCACTGTGAAGCCGGGGTTTCTTGCTCAGGTCAATGGGTCCATCAGTGTCAGGGCTCGAGCTGGGAGAGGGGGCAGACTTGACCACAGAAATGAGAGCGGGGACAACGGGGGGCACCTCGGCGCGTGGAGCATCTGGAGTGCTGCTGCTGCTGCTGCTGTTAGGCTGGCTGGCAGCATTATGGATCTCGTACAACTTGCGCCGCTTGCGGGTACGGATGGGCTGGGGCAGGAAGGGCACTTTGCTGGCAGTCCCACTCCGGCGCAGTGGTGGGTCATGGCGGGAGGCGCAGTAATAGCGCTTGTGCACCATGTACGTCTCATGGCGGCTGAAGCGAATGTTGCAGGCTTCACATACGGTCCGGCTGGGGTCGTCATCCGGCTCCTCCACTGAGCTGGCCCCAGGGCTCTGGCTGTCCTCACTCGTACGCCCCGTTCCATCTGCCTCTGGAGAGGGGCTGGCTTTGGCTCTGCTCTCCTCCACCTTGATCTCCTGCTTGATCTCTGGGGCAGGTGGGGTGGCGCCTCCCCTGGCATCCCCCTCTTGAGTGGCCTTGCCCTCCCCAGGTGCCTGGGGTGAGAGGAGTGCTGCAGGGGGCCCTTTGGGGGTGGCTGAGGCTCCTGCTTTTAATTTACGGGTGCCAGGGGAGTTCTCTTCTGTCACCCGGCGGCTGGAGCAATATAGCCGCTTGTGGACATAGTAGTTGTTGATGTTGTTGAAAGTGATCTCACACTCAAAGCAAGTTGCTCCCTTGGGCACTGGGGTGCCTGGGAAGAGGGTCGGGGGAACCCCGCCATGGCCCTGCTTCAGACGGCTGTGCACCAGCTCTGACATCTTGGCTAAGATCTCTGAAGCTTGTGGTACCACAGTGGCCTCATGGCCAAACACATATTGGGGTAGAAATATGGCCCCACCAGGGGTGCTGGATCCAGGCTCACTGGGCACTGGACTGGACCCTGGAGTGGGGCTGGTAATCTCCGACTTGACCTTCACAGAGTGCATGCTGT